GGGTGGGAAGGGATGCTGGCGTGGCTGCGCGGGATGCTGCTGCCTTTGTCGCTCTGTAGTCGTCCTCCCTGTCTGCTCTGATGAAGGGCGCCTCAACCATGCTCACCGGGTAACACAGAACGCAAGGATTACCCTTCACCTGGCCCAGAGCCGCCTGGTACCTCCTGGTTTGGGCTAGAGCAGAGCTGGCTTCCTAGAAGGTTCCTTTGGCCCTTGGCCCCAGCAAGCTCTGTGGTTGGGGGCTGAGCTAGTCTAGACCCCCGTGTACTGATTGATAACCTCTTTGCCCTGTCAAAGAGCACTTGTGAAAGCAGAATACAAGTGACTGCACAGGCAAGACCCTGTCCACAAAGCCACAAAGCCACAGGCTTCTTTGGACTGCATGATGGCCCCACACATTCCGCAGGCTGTACATCGGCTCCTTCATGTCTGCTGAGCTGGGATGAGGCAAGTCCCATTTCCTAAGAAAACCACTGAAATCCAAACTGACCCCACTTGCTGTCTGATGCATGCGTCAAGTGTGATCATTGTTTTAAAAGCCTACTCACAGTGGAGGGTCAGGTGGTGCCATGTCTCCAGATGGCCTGGCTGGCCCATCCCCACTGTGTGTCTGTGGGCTCTGACACGCCCCCTCCTCCTGCTTGGCCATTGAAAGGGAGATGTGGCTTCAAGAAGCCCCCTTCGTTCTTCAGCAAGGGAGGCCACTGCTTGAGCAAGATTTGCCTGTTTCCAGGCCCCCCTACCCTCCTGGCCAGTTTGTGGTCGATTTTTGTCAGGTTTGTACCTTCCCTGACACCAGGAACATCAAAAGATGATGGCTCACACCCTGGCCAATGCTGGGCTGGAGGAGACTATGGATCTTTGCATCTCTGACCTGTTGCCACCTAGATGGGGTGACTTAAGGATGGTTGTCCAGTTTCCCTTTATGCTGAGGCCAATCTGATGGCAAAGGCCTCAAACCCCTGCAGCCATGGTGTAAAATAAATGCTGTCTGTGAAACCCTTTTCTCAGTAGCGCTGACTTCAGTGAAAAGAGCCCTGTTTTGCTCTTCCTTAGCTACCTCGGTGCCTTCTGCACAAAGCCCTTCGGCATAAAACCCATCACTGGCCCGCAGCACTAAATCAGAGTGCCTTGACGGGCCTGGGCGGGCCCTCGCCCCCCTCACCCCCTTCACAGTCTCATCCCAGGGGCCCAGGCTCCTCTTTCCCGCCAGCACTTACCCTTGCTTGGGCACTGGGGCCTGCAGAAACCTCTCGGGCTCTCCTTGTGACTGTGTCCATCATCTGAAGGTGGCGTTAGCCAGCTGGGCCTGTCCCAGATGATAGGAAGGAGAAAGTGAGCCAACTAGAAGGGCCAACTGAAAAGATCCGACCTCCATCAGCCTAACTGGCAGAGAGAACTCTCAAACAAAAGTTCAGCATTTACAGTATGAGCTCTGAGCGCGAGCAGCATGGCCTCATGGCTCATGAAAGCCAGCTAAAGGAGCAGAGGTTGGGTGAGGAAGAAGTGCTGGAGACTGCCAGAATCCCCTGTGCATCTTTTCACGTGCCTGTGTTCAAGTGTGAATTGTGAAACTGTCTAGTGTTTGCATTAAACAAACAAAATGGAACCAATAGATCCTTGTGTTCACAGGTGTGTTAAGATACTTCCGGTGTCAAGTTGATGCTAACCACCTTCTGCTACGCTATTCTGTGATGTGGTGCTGTCCTCGTTCCCCTCCTGCCCAGCCAAAGGTATTTTTCCAGGCGGTTAGTTCTTCTGTTATGCCCCCTAGGAACAGCCTAATGTCAGGGCTATCATCTTTAGGTGTCCCCTCCCCTTCATTGTACAGGAGCTGCAAACATCCTGGGGTTTGGAGGCCTTCTTAGGCATTCAACATCAGTTACCCAGCCCACTTGCCACACAGCATGAGCACCTCTGGGAGGATGGACATTGGCCACACTGCCCAGGCAGCTTCCAAGCCCACCACTGCTGCGTCCTCCTGAAAGCAAGCCAGGAACCAGTGAAGCTCCTAGTCATGTGCAGTTGTTTCAGGCAGAAAAAGCAGAGCAGGAAAGGGGGCCTTGCACCTGTCACTTGTAGCCCTGTGGAGAGGCCTGTTTGTTTGGAATCAAGTCCCAAAAGTCCTTGTCCTCAGCTCACAGCTTGACCTGTGAACTGCGAAGACAGCTGGACTTGTCAGCATAAACAAGCTTCAGAGACCCTGGGCTGTGGCTGGAGAGTTTTTACATTGGGGTCAGTGGCATTTTCTTTTCTTCTTACTACACTTGTAGTGGAATAGGACAAAAATCTTCAAAACCCAGGCTACCATGTCACTCTCCTATGCAAAAGCTCTGCACAGTTAGTGGGGATCTGATTGAGCCTTCATCTCTGGTGTTGCTGCTGGGAACACTACCTGGAAGGTGGCCAAACCAGACATCTCTACCTAATACTGGGTCTCTTACTCACCCAGCAGTGACTCCCATGGACAGGGTTGGCGACCCTAGGCCCTTACAGAAAGGTGACCCACAGGGTACAGTGTGATTTCACCCCATCCCTGAAAGTGTGTGATCCGTAGACCTGGTGAGTGCCTAAGAGCACACTGCACTGCACAAGGAGGACCCATTGCTTCGGCTCAGGCGTCTCCAGGCTGTTCTGTGTCTCTATGATTTCCTCAAGGCTATGCTGAGGGTTTCAGAGTTTAAAATCAGAGCACTTACCAGCTCCGACCCAAACACTCACGACTCATGATAAGTTACATTTACAATTAACAAATAAATCAAATCACATATAGGCAACTTTACATATATTAACTATGGTTGGCACATAGTAAACATTCAATATGTGTTACGTTAGTCTTACTAATTTTCCTCAAGGGAAAAACCTACCGAAAATCCTTTAAAAAGAGAGACCCCAAAAAGACCAGGGAGCAAACATATTATAATTTTAATTAGAGATTGAAATACAGTGCATCAGATGAGGCAAACACAATATTGTATCAGTTTTTAAAAACTTGAACCATAAAAGTGTTACATTCTAGTACACTTAAATAAAACAACAAAAAGGATTGCTTAGATAACAAAAGTATACTTAAGTTGTTTTACAAACAGTTCTGTACTAGGAACATACAAAGGGAAGTGCTCTGTTGTGCTTTAAAATTGAATAAGAGTTTCTAGGGATCCTGTTGACAGGCCTCTGCCCCACTCAAACGAGGAGACATGGCCTGGCCGGGTACCAGCTCCCCACCCCACCAGTGCCAGACCAGCTGACTCCACCATGGAGCAGCCTTCATGGTTTCTCTGGTTCTGTCAAAAGTATCATTCCATCCACACTACATTTAACAGTCCTAGTGCAGCTGGGGGATTAAGTGATATTTCTGGGGAAAAATGGGAAATTGTCCCCATTTAAAAAAATCAGTGTGTCAATGAATACTACTTTATCCATTTTGTTTTTGTATTTTTTGTTGTTTTTGAGAGAGGATCCTGCTATGTAGACCAGGATCCTCCTGCCTCTGCCTCCCCAGTGCCTAGATTACAGGCATGTGCCACCATGCCCAGCAGTTTATCCATTCATAAATGAGCATTTGGATATGTTTGGAGCATAAATCAAAAGCTGTTATCAATTAAACTATGATTGAGAAACAAATCCCCCAGATGATATAAATGGAGAGTTGATTTTAGGTTATCAAATAAATATTGAATAAATGTTTAGAATCTTATGGAAGGACAATTTTCTGTAAGAATCAGAAGGTTCCAAGTTGTAAAACAGCTATTCTCTATGTATTTGATTATAAAAAACCTTTTTAAGAATATATTTTCAAAAATAAGGTCAGTATGTTGGACACTGCATTGCATCCAGTGATTTGACCCAGACCAGAGGAGAACACAAAGCAGCTGTGTTGGGGCTGGTCCTGGGAGCATCTGGGCCATCTCTGATTCTGAGGGAAAGTTTGCCTCCCACCTCAGGTGAGGCCTGGCAATGTAGACACAGGCACAGGGCAGGTGCCGGCATCTCACACCAAGGAGCTAAGAGGTGATGGTAAATTCTTTCCTGAAAGGATTGATGGAGTCACAGAGCTCAAAGTCACTAAGTGAAGGAGCAAAACTGCAAAGAGAGGCCTGACCAGCTAAGAGTGACTCAGAAGAGAAAACCAAGGCAAGGGAGTGCTATGCTTTTCCAAATCGAAGCCACAATACAGTGGCTGCTTTAACATATGGACAGATCATGTGAATAAACTGAGGTGAAGGGACCATGATAAAATGAGTGCCTGTCCACCCAGGCACATCACAGGTAGAAGCAGACTTGCTGTGATACAAATACCTGGCATCACAGGAGGGAGGGTGCCCGGTCACATGGCCCCAGAGTACTTAACAGACATTGCTCCTTGAAGGAGCTGTGTCAGATGGAGGCCAGCACCTGTACAGAGAAGCCTAAGTCCTCAGTTTACCTGCAGCGGAGACAGGGGACTGAGCATGCCAAATTTGTGCCATGCTGCGGGGAACTCACTACTATTCCTGTCAATGGACTGGGTCACCTCAGGAGCAAGTACCAGAGTTAGTTTGAGAGACAGTAACACATTGCCATTGAAATGGCATATCCAAAACCCTGTTCAAATCACCACACAAAAGCTAGCATGAAGTTTGCTGGGAAAGAATTTCTCACACAGTACAGTTGAGTAAAATGCCTCCTCAGGCCAATTATTCTAAACATAAAAAAAGACATAGGAAAATAAAGGTATGTTTCTCTTTTTAAAAAATACCTTCTATGTACACAACAGTAATTGGTACAGGAGGACCCTTGCATAAAGGTAGTTGTAGACTAGATGGAAATGGTCTGTTCCCCAAACATTTCATTTAAAAACAGCTCTCAAATTGTGGCAAAGAGTCGAGAGAAGCCACTGGCTGGCAATGTGGTCTTTAAGTGAATGGTCTGTTTCTAATGAAGGACTAACTTGGAAGGAAATGACGTGAGATGCTCTTAAGCTTAAGTACTGCATTGCATTCACTCTACTTTCTCCCAAGCTGCCTGGACACGAGGAGGCAGCTCCCCTGTGAAACTGCTGACAGGAGGGTAACGGGCTGTTCACAAAACAAAAAGCACTTGCTGACAGTGGGAGCTGTCACCTAGCCACACAAATGGTCCCTGGGTCTAACCCTAAGAGATAAGATCACAAGCTATAGCCATAACAGCAATGGCCAGGTCCCTGAGCCACTGGGCAGATGGTGGAGCGGCAGGATGGCCTGAGATACTGGCCCTGCCCGTCATACCGAGGTGTGGACGGGAGTGGCCGAGTGGGAAGGTGAGGATCCCCGCTCAGAGGAGGATGAGACAGCACGTGCAGCCACTTCCCGCTGCAGCTCCTCCACTCGCTTCTGCAGCTCAGCCCTGACAGCCAGTAGCTCTTTGAGATTCTGGTGAATTGGCATCTGGTGGCAAGCAGAGACAAGGCTTATTAGCAAGCTGTTGTTAAAGTACTATTTGTTCTTAACACAAAGTTTTAATACCTCGATCCTTAGCTTCATGGTTATTTCACCACCCAGTAGCCTCCGTGGCCAGAGTGTCCTGGACCACTGACCCATCCTCCACGTAGTATACAGGCATCCCATTTCCACAAGCTAGGAGTTTGAACTGTCTCCCAGGCTGTCCTGCAGCTCCTGGGGACAAGCCAGGAATGAAAGGGGCACCATGAGTGGGCCTTCTTTGCCCAATGTTCTCTTTGTCCAGCTACCACTTTTCAGGAGAAAATGCACAGGCTCAGGTGATACCTCAAGTCAGCCAAGGCTTCCAAGTGCAGGCTCAGAAGCAATCAGCCTTCTGAAGACCATCAGCAATGCAAACAGCTGGCTCCGGGCTGCCTGGCTAAGTAGTGTTTACATGTAGATGCCCCTCTCCATTCTCTCTGTACTTGTGCATTTTTATAAGTAGCTACACTGACTAAAGACAGTTCTGAAAAATCAGCACTTTCTACAACTTATGTTTAATTTTCATTGATCAGAGCAGGAGGCTGGCAGAAGACCCCGAGGCAGGCAATGTCAGGGTAGAGGGAGCTGACCTGGAGCAGCAGCTACTCATCCCCAGCATTACAGTGCTTTATCACAAGTTTCTTTTAAACCTTTGATGGTGTGGGGGAGAAACACAGAAATGAGATGATCCCACTAATTTTCATTCTTAGCCACCCTGCTCACCAAGCTAAGAAGAGCTCCTCAGAACCTACCCAGGATAACCAGAGACTCAAGGCAGATTTCCATAATGGAACTCTCAGGGCTGGGGGTGAGGATGAGTGGGGAGGGAGGTCACTAGCTGGACACTGAAAGAAGCATAGGGAACCTCCTTTCATCCCCCATCCATGTGCACACAGCAACTAGAGGGCTGGGTCCTGTGCCTCAGGCAGACCATGTAATTCACCCCATAACATGCCCCAGTGGCTCCTTCCCCTTGCCCCAGTAATCATCCTGACCCTGGCCTCTAGGCTCCAGCCTGCCTCTCGAGCTTACCTCTCACCAAGTTCTACCGCTACTTGCTCAAAGACTTGGAACTACACCATGCTGGGTGCCACTGTGATCATTCTTCATGGAGGGATGCCAGAGACAAGAGAGCAAGAGTGACAGGAAGAGCTGAAAGGACTGAGTGAAGGCACACAGGTGTCTCCAACACAACAAAGTGCTCTATATTTTGTATTAGCAGCAAGAGGCTAAGAACAATCTGCCCAATAGCAGGCCACAGGAAGAAGGGAGAGGACAGAAATGTCAGAGTTCCTTAGCAAAGGCTGATCCCAGAGGCCATTGTGAAGTAGGCAACAGCTGTGCTCTTACCTTTAGGATCTATTTAGTATTTTCCTTGTCTGTCAGATCATTTGATTGAGATGAGGGAACACGTTGCAATCAAGCTTTCACTTTACACACACACACACACACACACACACACACACACATACACACACACACGTGTTCTCAGGAGCAGGGCATGCTGCGGAACATATAACCTTATACATGGGTGGCTCATAGCTACTCAAATACACTGCTATCACCTTGTGTCTTCACACAGGTTTTTGGGTATTTTTCTCACATAGCAGTTTCATTTGCAACTAAGCAAAGGCACGCCTGAACGAACAGAAAGCCCAAGGCTTAAATACAAGTCTGGATAGAGAAAACTCCAGTCGTGTCTGCCCCATGGGCATTAGCATGGAAAACACAAACCAGTAAGGCCCAAAGAAAAGGATGCCAGTAGCCCTTCCACCTCCTTCTCGGAGAGGAGGCCTCACGGACCTGTGCCCCTGCCTTTTCTCCCTGTACTTCCTTCTCCCCTCGCTCACACCTGGCTTACCATACAGCACCCCACACATCCACACCGTCTTCCTAAGCATCTCCCTGTCACAGTGTTCACTGCATTCTACTTTCCATTCATCCTAGTGCTGCCACAGGGAACCTTCTAGAAAACGTACCTGGCCTTATTGTGTAAGCACTTATTTGCCACTCTAGCATCCACTATCACCAAGACCAAACCACTCCCCAACATGCTGTGTGCCCACTACTTAGGAGGTGGCTGATATGTGACTGCTGTATTCAGGATAAAAAGCCATGGCCCAGGGACTTCGGAGTTCTCAATTCTGTGTAGCTCTATGTAGGGAGAATACAAACTGCTGGACCACTCACCTACCACTGTCCCTGCACTGTGTGAGGAACTTGGTTTGGATTCCTGTCACACTTGTACCCGTTGTGAGGTCTCAGTGAGGCTCATGACCTTGCCCTGATCAGTCACTGCAGGAACAAGATAGGATTAGGTCCTGGCTGGGGGCATCCTACAAATACATGTACCAGGCAGCAAGATCCTGGTGAATTATGGCTTCTCTGGCCCTTCCCTTCAGCCTCTGCATTGGGGGATTTTCGTGAGCATTAAATGAAATCATGTGCACAATTCCCAGTGGCAGGTACAAAAGACCTCAAGTGACAGCAGCTGTACTATGGCTCCCACAATCACAGTCATCTCACTGAAGCCTATTCTGCTTACAGATCTCTCATACAAGCTATAGGCTTTAGGGAAGATTTGGTGCCCGGTCCACACAAGTCTGCAAGAGAGAAGGAGTCAGTGGGATGCACAGCTGGGCCTGCAACACTGGCAGACAGAACCAGTGCAGCAGAAGGGATCATAGCCCAGAGCCACTCCCACCTGGCCCAAGCACCTTCCCTGCTTGTCACATTCCTTCAAGTCAGCAACCTGCTGAGCACAGAGTGAGGACAGAGGGTGGCTCCTGCAGTACCTGAGACGCGTCATTAAACCAAAGGCACTCAGTTCACAGAGAAGCTCAATTGTGTGTTGCAGAAATGTTAAAGACACCACAACAAGTGTCCTCTGAGTCACCAAGACCTGGTAACTCTAAGTAATTTAAATAGAGTAGTGACTTTCTGATATTCTATAGCCCACCTTCCATATTGCTAAAGCAGATGAAACAAGCTGCCCAGGAAAGAAATCAGTCAAGTGCTTAGTGCAGAAATACACAAGGACAGTTAGGAGGAAGTTGCTGGAAAGGGTGAAGTGTGGGCTTTGGTTGGTAAATAAAGCTGATACTACTGCCTGGAAAGAGGTGCTCATGAGGCCCATAACAAGGCAGCTGAGGTCAGATAAAGCAATTTTAGAGCCAGGACTCCAGTGACAGGATAGAAATGTGCTCTGCACTTACACTTCTGGGGAGCTTGGAGGAGCCAGCTGTTTATGAATCCACTAGCATGGGAGGAGAGAGGCCAGCAGAGGTGCAGGCTATGGAGAACATGAGGCCTGGATCTTAGGCCTGGCTCAAAGATGAGAATAAGTGCTGGGATCAGCACTTATCACAGAGTTCTAGAAAACACTCCTGAAGTCCTAAGCATGGCAGACCCAAATTACAGAATATAGAAGAAGAAAGGGCTTTTGAAGTTGAGGCCATGTAGAACACATGGAATGAATGAAACAGGAAAGCATCCAGGAAAGAAGCTGTGATCAGCTTGGGCTGTGGTGTCAAAGCACAGAGGATACAAGAAGGATATGGGAAGCAGCTGCTTGGGGCAGCAGGGTATGCATGGCAGAGGAAGCCCACAGGTAACTCTACAAGTGAGTGCACATTCCAAGCTGAGGGAGGGTTAGAAAAGTGGCCGTATCCTCTGGAGGTCCAGTTCTGGGCAAATGAAAAAGAAAATGAACAGTTTGGACTTCTCCTGATTAGTAGGGCTTGGGGATGAGAACAGAGATCATGAAGACACTGAAAGGGAGAGATGAAGAAAGAGGAGGAGGAGGACGAAGAAAGGAAGGTTTCCTTAACCTTGGCTGACAGAAGCAGTGATGTTAAATGATGCCCTAGCAACATACTCCTAGTAGTTTCCCATTAAGCCTTCACAGTATTAAACTTGAGGGAAAAAAATCTCAGCAGAAAGCTCTCTGTCCACAGAGGTGAGAGCTTCATTTGTCTTCTCTTCCCTGACCCCCGACCCCTTTATACACTGTCAGGCCTGGCTGTCCATGTGGAGGAGAGTGGGGGTGAGGGGCAGAGGATGGGGAGTGCTCGAGGAACACTATAATTGGTGGTGCCTGACCTGCAGCCAGAGCTCAGTCACCAAACACAATAGGTGGACAGACTAGACTGGCCTTCACTGTGCACCATATTCTGTTTTCTCAACCTCAGAAAAGGTAACTGTGAACTAGTGTGACAGGGCAGGGGAAGCTTTATCCTGTTTTCAAAGGGCCTGCTCTATGACTTAGCACATGCCCTCTTTCTGTTGTGATACCAGAGTCTCTGAGTGAACCTCAACACATTTTTCACAGGCCTCTCTACCACCTCTACAGGTAGATAGCTATGCAGACGTAGGTACTGTTCCACCCATAACACTCCCAAGCACCTTATGAGACCTTATAAGAGCCAAAAGCAGTAACAGATGCTACTTTCCTACACTTTTTTCCATGAAAGGCAGACATGAAAGATTTTGAACTCTAACCCAGAAAATGGCATTGGGTTGGTATATGAGGGGCACCTAATGGAACATGACCACAAAGGATGGAACTCTGGCAAAGGCAGAAGACATTTAGTATGTTAATACCTACCATGGCATACATCTTTTATAACATCACCTTTACTTGGAAAGAAAGACGTACTCTTATGAAAAGAAGAAAAAGAAAAAGATACCTGTGGTCTCATCCGTGGATTCCATCGTACATAATAGTTTACCCATAATTCCAAATGACTCAGACTAGCAACAGGATATAACACATGGTTTTCATAATTCACAAAGAAGGGATTCAAAAATTCATCTAGTTGGCTATTAATATAAGACCATAAAGATATAGTCTTTGTACATATATCCTGAAAAAACAAAAAAGGATACACTGAAATATATCTTTCTTTATAGCCCTCAAGAATTAATATTACATAAGGGAAAGGATTTGAATAATGAAGTAAATTCAAACACTGAAAAAAGCCTGAGCACTTACTAAACCCCACCCCCATCTTCCCACTGTGAATGGCCTCCATGATGTCCTGGAAAAACATAGGCAACATCTGGCAACTGTGTCTATGGGAAGGCAGAATAAGAACTTTTTAATAGCCATAGGATGATAGGGCCCATCAATAATAATTACATATTTTATTGTGGCTTAAGATTTCCTTTTGTGACTCTTCCTATTGAGAAATATGGGCAAAATTTGTAGTTAAGATCCTTTACAAGCTGGGTATGGGTGGCACATACCTGTCATCCTAGTTACTCAAAAAGCAGAGACAGGACTCCAAGGTCAAGAGTACCTTGGGCAAAGTTAGCAAGGCCCTATCTTGAAAACAAAATAAAAGCAAATGGGCTGGGAGCATGGCTCAAGTGGTAGAGTACTTGCCTAGCAAGCACAAGGCCCTAGGTTTAATCCCCAGCACTGAAAAAAAAAATCAACAAAAAAGTTTGCAATGAAAAACCATGGCTGTTTGCCATACCATGGTGGCAAGGTGTAGAAGCTTCACAAATGTGTGTACTTCATTAGTATATCTTTCCATCAATTTTACAGTACACCATTTAGAAACACTGTAACTATTTATATTTCTCATCTAAATTAAAACATCCAAATCTGTAGGTATACTAGGGCAGGTAAACATTAAATAGTGGATCAAACAGTGAAAAGTCCAATAAGCACATAGTGAGGGCAAGTGAATGTTTTACTATTCTGTTACTCAAGGACTGCCTATTTACCATGAGCTGTCTTCCCACAGGAACATTAAACTATGGTCATTTCATTTTTCTAGTATATTGTATTTATAAGAAAAGTACCACCAATAATTCAAAGGATCCAGAATAACCAAGGTAATCTTTAAAAAGGAAGAAGAAAGCCAGAAGACACATACTTCCCATTTGCAAAACTTACTAAATGCTGTAATAGTCAGTATCAGTGATGCTGGCATAAAGATAGACATGTAGATCAGTGGGAAAGAATACAGAGTACAGAAATTAACTCTCACATTTACAGTCCAAGACAATCCAAGGGGATTCCAACAAATAGTGTCTTTCCAACAAATAGTGCTGGGGAAACCAGATGGCCAACATAAAAGAAAGAAGTTGGACCCTTACCTCATACCACATATAAATATTAACTCAAAATAGATTACAGAACTAAAATAAGAGCTAAAACTGTAACACTCTTAGAAGAAAACATAGAATAAATCTTTGTGACCTTGGTGGGTTAAGCAATGGTTTCTTAGGCATGATACCAAAACCACAAACAACAAGTGAATAAAAAATTTAAAACTTTTGTGCTTAAGCAATGGTTTCTTAGGCATGATACCAAAACCACAAACAACAAGTGAATAAAAAATTTAAAACTTTTGTGCTTTAAAGGACACCATAAAGACAATAGAAAACCTACAGAATGAGAGAAAAAAATTGCAAATCATCTATCACATAAGGGACTTGTATATAAAATGTATAAGGAACTCTTACAACTCAATAATAAAAAGACAACCCCAACTTAAAAAATGGGCAAAGGATCTAAATAGACATTTCTCCACAGAAAATGTATAAATGGATAATAAGCACAGGAAAAGACACTTAACATTATTACTCATTAGGGAAATATAAATCAGAACCACATCATACAACCTACTAAGATAGGTATTATTTTCTAAAAAAGAGAAATAGTGTTGATGAAATGTGGAGAAACTGGAGACCCTCAGACATTGCTGAGGAGAATGCAAAATGGTACAACTGTTTTGGAAAACAATCTGGTTGCTTCCTCAACAGGTTAAACATCTGTTGAATGGAATGGTCCAGCCATTCCATTCCTGGGTACATTCCGGAGAGAAGTCAAAGTATATATCCACACAAAGACTTGTATATAAATATTTATAGTAGAATTATCATCAAGAGCCAAAAAGTGAAAACAATTCAAATTTCTATCAACTTGATGAATGGGTAAATAAAATATGTTCTAGTCAGGTAATGGAGTATTGCTCAACCATAAAAAGAATGAAGTAGTGGCATATGGATGAATCTTAAAAACATTATGCTAGGTGAAGAAAGTCACAAAAGTGCACCTATTGTATAATTCCATTTGTGTGTCTAGAATAGGCAATTCCATAGAAACAGAAAGTAGATTAGGGGTTGCCAGGGGCTAGGGAAAATGGTGAGAGACTACTAATGAGTATAGAGTTTCTTTTGAGGGTGATAAAATTTTTGAGGGTAATGGTTGTGCAATCTGTGAATATACTAACACCACTGAATTATATACTTTAGATGAATGAGTTTTATGGTATGTAAATTATATCTCAAGAGAGCTTTTAAATGAAGAATAAATCCCCCCTCCAAAAAAAAAAACTAGTTAAAGCCATAGTTTATGAACTTCATTCTTCTACTGCTGGTTTTTTGTTTTAAACACCTTTATTGACATGTAATTCACATACCATAATATTTATTCTTTTAGTTTTTTCCTGTTATTAAGAAGTTAAAAGAGCCCCAGTACACTGAGCCACAGAAGTGTGGATTTTGTCCTACTCCTTAGAGCCATGGGCTTGCTGGATCCCAGCCCCTACAGAGTAAGTGGCTCGTATTAGACACACATGCTGGGGCTGCAACGACCCTGGGAGAAGATCTAGTGCAACCTCTCCCCGTCCCACAATTAACAGACAGCAGCAGGACCAGAGCCAAGTTCTCCTTCCACTGAGGCATCCTTCCATTACTGGGGAAGATGCCTGAGCAACAGGGGAAGCAAAAGACACTTACTTCTTTTAATCGCTGTTGTTCACAGTTGCACAGAAAGGTCCCAAAGAGACAGCTATAAAGGTGATCCAAAATTGTAATCAAGAACAGTTCATTAAACTCGAACGCTGAAGGAAACTTAAATGGAGAGAAAATAAGGTTTAGTCTTAAAGTCCAATTTCTAAAACAAAGTGATACCACTTATTTGTGAAAGATAGGTAACTACAGTTTGGAATAGTCAGATTAAAAAGCAGAGTGAGCCCATGTAAAATGTAACTATCTAGAGTTTCAAGTTCAAACTAATAGAACTGGCTGAGAAATAACCAGAAGCAACAAAATTGTGCTCTTCAATGCCTAAAAAAATTATGTAGCTTCAACTTCTCACATGGTAGAACAGAGCTCATATTTACTCTTCTGTCAGAAACAACTAGAAAACTGGATAAAATGTATGAAGTAAATGCCTTCAGGTATTGGCAACACAGTACTGGGACCCCCAAAAGAAGGAAAATAAATGAGGGGAGCACTATTATCGTACCAGCTTCCCATCTGGAGGTACACTGCAGGCTACAGAACAGGGTGGAGGAATACCAGGTTCAACATATACCAAGTGACTCCCCAAGAAGTGGAAAATCTGAATAGCTCTATTTCTATTAGATAAACAACTCACAATTAAGAACGTTCCCTGCTATGCAGAAGCTCTTTAGTTTGATGCAGTCCCATTTGTTTCTTCTTTCTCTTAGATGCTGAGCCTTTTGAGTTCTACTTAGGAAGTCGTTCCCTCTACCTATCTGTTCCAGCATATTTCCTACTACTTCCTGGAGTTGTTTCAAAGTTCCAGGCCTTATATATTAAGGTCTTTGATCCACTTTGAGTTGATTTTGGTACAGGGTAAAAGACAGGGATCTAGTTTCAGACTTCTACATGTGGCTATCCAGTTTCCCCAGCAACATTTTTTACTATTACAAGCAATGAAAGCAGTCATAAAGAACCTCTCTACAAGAGCCATGGATGGATTCATGGCTGAATTAATCAAGCAGTACTGAGCAAAAAGTCCAATGCTGGAGGTATCACAATACCTGACTTCAAACTATACTACAGAGCCATAACAATAAAAACAGCATGGTATTGGCACAAAAAGAGACAAGACCAATGGATTAGAATAGAAGACCCAGACACAAACCCCCGCATCTACAGCCAACTGATCTTCAACAAAGGAGCCCAAAACACATGATGGAGAAAAGACAGCCTCTTCAACAAATGTTGCTGGGAAAACTGGATATCCACATGTAGAAGACTTAACATACACTTAAAAGGCTGGTGGAGTGGCTCAAGTGGTAATGCACCCGCCTGGCAAGTGTGAGGCCCTGAGTTGAAATCCAAGAACTGTTGAAGGATAGGAAAGTAAAATAGGTCCTGTTCAGGATTAGGTACCAGTAGGAGAGGGAAGGGTGAACAGTGAGGGTGAAGGAAGGCAAATATGATGGATGCATATGAAAACATAACAATGAAACATGTTTTAAGAAGGGGATAAATGCATGAGGGAGAATGAAGGAAGGGGTGAATCTAACCAAGGTATATTGTAAGCACATATGTAAATGTCACAATGAAACCCCCTGCCCACTTAATACATACTAATAAAAATGATAAAGGAAAAAAAAAAGAACTTTCCCCAAAACATAACCCTCCAAACAAACATCCTTAAATCCTTACCAATAAGTGAGCAAACTGAACCTGACAGTGTATGAAAAGGGTAATACAACATGACCAAATAGGGTTTATCTTGGGAGTACAAGGCTTGTTTAACATTTGAAAATCAGTGTCACATGTTGGTGGGAATGTAGACTAGTACAACCACTCTGGAAAAAAATTTGGAGGCTACTTAAAAAGCTGGACATCGATCTACCATTTGATCCAACAATACCACTCTTGGGATATACCCAAAAGACTGTTACTCCAGAGGCACCTGCACATCTATGTTTATTGCGGCACTATCACAATAGCCAAGTTATTGGAAACAGCCAAGATGCCCCAACACTGACGAATGGATTAGAAAATGTCGGTATCTATACACAATTGGAATTTTATTGCAGCCTGAGAAGAACGAAATTTTATCATTCGCTGGGTAAATGGATTGGAACTGGAGAACATCATTCTTGAAGGTTAGCCTGGCCCAAAAGACCAAAAACGTTATGTTCTCCCTCATATGTGGACATGAGATCAAGGGCAACACAACAAGGGGATTGGGACTATGAGCACATGATTAAAGCGAGAGCACACAAGGGAGGTGAGGAATAGGTAAGACACCTAAAAAACTAGTAGATTTGTTGCCCTTAATGCAGAGAAACAAAGCAGAACCTTAAAGCAACTGAGGCCAATAGGAAAGGGGACCAGAACTAGAGAAAAGGTTTAGAGCAAAAAGAATTAACCTAGGAAGGGTAACAACCCACGCACAGGAAATCAATGTGAGTCAATGCCCTTGATTAACTATTCCTTATCTCAACCAGCAAACCCCTTGTTCCTTCCTATTATGCTTATACTA